AATAAAAAAGGTTAACAAAACCCCAAACCAGAATCAATTGTTCTCTTCTCTTAACCCCAGCCAAATGCATAGCATTGTAGATTGAAGCTCTCATGCCGCCAACCAACCTGTGCCCTTTCAACTACATCATCTTCTCCTTGGCTGCTTCCTTCACAAACTCAGCTTCCAACTCAAGCTTTGCCAAAGTAAATGGCACATTCATCAATGACCTCACACTCTTTTCCACCGGACACCTAAAGAACCATTTGCTCCTTGGCTGCTTCCTTCACAAACTCAGCTTCCAACTCCAGCTTTGCCAAAGTAAATGGCACATTCATCAATGATCTCACACTCTTTTCCACGGGACACCTAAAGAACCATTTGCTCCCATCATGGTGTCATACAAAATATGTGTCCTCTTCACATTCTTCTTCTCCTTCAATCCACGTTGAGCAATGAGATCCTCGAACACCAGCCCACACATATAAATACCAAAGCAAGGGGAACAACGTGGATCTTGTAATCTAGCATTACATGGGTATTTGGTTGCGCATTTCCAATCAAATCCGACCTTACTATCACAATTGTAACCCCAGAAGGACCGACATTTTTCTGGGCTCCAACATAGATCACCCCAAATTTACTCACATCCGCTAGTTTTGGTTTAGGTTTTTGCTGGAACACGATTTTTTGGATTGCTCAGCCCAGTGGTTCATTAATTTTGGACCAAGTGGAAGCAAAATTAGCCTTAAAAGCAGAGAAATTGCGATCGACTCAACATGTTTTAAGCAAATATGAGAACATGTCAAGTGCATGTGTGCATTTTATCCTAGATGAGATGTGAAAATTCGCCATCAAAGAGGGGACGAGCACCACTGGAGAGGGGCTAGACTGGGGTGTTCTGTTTGGGTTCGGATCGGGGTTAACGTTGGAAAAGGTTATGTTGCATACTGTTATTCATGATAATAATATTGATCACATTTCAAAAGATTTGCCCGGGGTGGGGGGGATTGAATTATTATAGTTAAATGTTTATATAAAAGTAATAAATATATTTTTCGAAAAAAATTGTCTACTTACGATTGAATTGGGTTAATTACGTTAGTCCCGTTTTTGCTCATTCTTTCAAAACTTTTTTTACACACTCATTTTCAACTACATATTCACACAATGAAATATTCTATATGTAACCAAGAAATTTTTCTTATTTTTTAATCATACATTCTCAAGAAATTCACTATTCAAGACAATATTTTTCTAAAAAAATGACCACCAAACAGGGGCTAAAGGTGACTGAACTTTTGAATGGTCACCGATGTAAAAGAAAGTTAGGGGCCGTTCTCTTTGTGTTTCAGTTTTATATTTTGTGTTTTGAATTCATTTTG